AACTTTCGCTGTTGAGTTTCGCCATAAATTGTTGAATACTTTGACCAGCATATGTGCATTATGTATTTGGGTAAGATGTTGAAATATTGTACTATTTAAACGGCCCAAAAATAGTAAACAGAAAACACCCGTACCCGTTTGTCGTTTACGTGTAGACTACGGTTTACCGCGGGGAAACCGGTAGAAATTACGGGTAAAATTGCTGACATCAGCAAAAATTGGTAAACAAAATGGCGATACTCGTACCCGTAAACCGGAACATCTTAACCTCTCTATTTATAATATATGCACCCTGTCAATATTTTACGCATCTTTGCGTTCAAATTTTAACAATACGTTTTTCAATGGTTTTCGTTTTTTGGGGGACACCCTGTAGAGCGTTTGCACTCATTCCCCAGAGATCAACTGAACAAAAGCCATGGCGGTCATGTTGGTGTTCCAGGCAAGAGTCTAATTAAAATTCTTTTGAATTAACCTTTGTGACACCGCCATTTTTGGGTGGCTTTTCAGGCGAAGTCTGCGAGATAAGTTGGATAAATGATTTTTTGGATAAATGATGGCAAATTTGCTTTGTAAATGTTAGTTTATTTTGGAAAATTGCTTTTCACATTGTTTTAATTGTTTGCATCGGTTCACGAGAATTTATAGATGCTACCCAAAAATGGCGGACATTCGTCATCATGAGAAAGGCTAATTGGAACACCAACATGGCGGCTGTGACGTCATGTGCAAACGCTCCATACGATAGTTCAACTGCCAGATATAAAACGCCTAATAACATGTATTTAACAACATTTATAAATTACAAGAAATTCGAACATTGACATGCACATATAATTTTACCTGGATAATTTTATTCTTAACTATAAGAATGGATGAAAGAAAAATGGTACACAAGTTCTTCAGTCAAAAGCCAGTCGGATACCTCCTATATAGGTGGGCTATTATTGTACAACAGAACTGCAGAAGGTGGTCAATCTATATACTCTCTACTTTGAGCATGTTTCAAGTCTGATGAGAGTTTGATCGGTAATATCCACTTTAATTCTCATCAATTGTTCTCCTTCGATCAATGCTGGGGCCTGTCCACAAATTGCTCAAAATTTTGAAAAAAGTTGCTAGTTTTTAACGAAAGTTGCTCAGTGGGAGCCAAGTGTTTTAAAAATATGATTTGTCAAAATTCTCACATTCGCTTGAACTGCATGGTGCTGGACAAATAAGTGCGTTAAGCCCGTTCTCCACTAGTTTGTTCGCGCGAACAGTAAAAAAGTAGGAACTGTCCAACTTTTTCGCGGCGAATTTTTTCGCTGACCAACCACATTGCCAAGATTTGTTTTTCGCTTCGCGTCGCGCGAAAAAGTTCGCCTGGTGGAGAACAGGCTTTAGAGGTTTAGAGCATCGACAATTCCTCGTTCTCAGTTGGCTCATGCGGACAATTTAATACATGTCGTATAAATTACGTGACAGAGAACTCTTTTTCAACTTGTATTTATTCAATACTGAGCTTAATTAAACAAGTTAAAACGACAAAAAATATAAATCTTTTTAAAGATTGAATGTTAAAACATTCCTCCATTGGAAGTTTATTCTAGCAAAATTGTATAATTAATTGCTGAATTATATATGGAAAAAATTCCAAATAGTTGCTTAGAGAAGTTGTCGGCTCAAAGAAAAGTTGCTGGTACAAGGAAAAGTTGCCAAGACGTTGCCGAGCAACTTGTGGACAGGCCTAATCGTTGCACGAGAGTCGGATGACTAGAAACTCTCGCTTGCCAGCTCTCATGTATTCTCATTTGACCAACTACAGAACTGTTTGTTAATAATAACAGATCTCCATGATCGTATGCAGGTAAGCCGTTGATCCAGGTATATACACAAATGATAAGAATGACAGACTTGAAGAGTCCGCTAAATATCTCCCTGATCACAAGAAATTTTCCTCAATTTATTTAAATTATAGTCAAACATAGACACTGGCCAACAAAACACCTGTACAAAAAATTAAGGGGACTGGACGCCACCATTCGGTACGCTTGTGAAAGAGCACATTTTTAAATAACAAAAATAACAAATATAAAAATAGGTACGATAGGCGTACATGTCTGGAAACGGAAGGAAATGCATACGTTTCTGGCGATGCATATAGTAAATGCAATTTTGTCTGACCTATCAGTTCATGGCTAGTGGTTCCCTTTTTTTGTACAGTTCACGCATTGTCTGGGAAAATGGAATGAATAACAGGGTACTTTTGTGGGAACTTCGTCTTTGGCTCACGTCCACAAAGGCTCGATTCCAAATGTTTCCATAGGAACATCTTAATTCGTGGCCATACAAGTGATTTTGTTTGCCAGGTTTACCTTAAATGCTTAGATTTTCAAATGCAGAAGAAAAGCATCCAAAGTTTTTCATTGCAAAGCTTCTTTCACAAGCGTATACCTGAAGTTGTCCTTCTTCCTTATCATAAGTTCAACATTTTTATGGCTGCGTGCAGAGTTGACATAACATGGCGTAGAAACGTGAACTGTCCATGTAAATAAATAGTTGTGTTAGTTTATGATATATATAAAACAACCTTGATGTAATATTATATAGGCAATAATTTAATAAAGACTAGTTTTCTTCATGATGCGGAGAAATTCAGCTTCGTTGATTTCACCATCACCATCTCTGTCTGCTTCGTCAATCATTTCCTGAAACGACAAACAAATGCGAAACTGGTCAAACCATGAATCAAGTTGAAAAATATCTATTGAATTACAGACTGAGAATGACAGGAAAGGATGGTGCATTTACTTTTCTTAAGGCACAAGCCACACTGGGAGAATTGTTGCCACGGCCTTAGCCAGCCTGCCGTTCTCCAGTTAACTACCTTTGCATTTGGATGGCCATCAAATGAAAGGACGGGTTTTGGACGGCTGATTATCATGTTGATGCCTTTCGCAGAGCTTCTAAATATCTGTAGCTCGTACTGAACTTGTCTTGATGGCTTCGATTGGCAATATAGTGCATGTAGCGATCATACATATGCAATACTAGGTCGTTATATTTTAATATTCTCATTGTTTTATGCCATTTATACCGAAGAACTTCTGTTACCTCTATTAATCACTAACAGTCAATGAGTCAAATTGGAGGCAGTTTGATTCTCAATAAAATACTTAATAAACCATAAAAAATATGCAGTAATAATATGCAAAACTGCCAGGGAATATGGCCAGACAGTCAACATGTTAGAAACTACGTCTGAGTAAATTCTGTTACAACAAATATGGGTTGTAACATGTCTTAACATACTGTTCAGGCTGAAGACTATGACAAAACAAAAGAAATTTTATTTTCTGCAACAGTATCTTCAAGGTCAGCATTCAACACAACAATCGGCTATCGGCCATTTTCCGAGTAAAACGCCACGACTGCACTGCGCTCAAAACATGCGACCATTTTTTCCATATTAATTTGATATCTTCTTCCCTCAAGACTCAAAATGTCATAATGTTGAGGTATTATTCATCAAATTAATTGCTATACAGCCTATACCACAGTATTTTGAATTCATATTCAAATTTCGTATATGACGTGAAATAACAATGCAATACTTTTGTTTTCTTCAATTGAATCCTACAAAAAATTAGTGGCCCGATCACGTCCGACCAAAACATGGGTTTGTCTGACGTACTGTCAGACCAATTTTTCAGCAATGACAATGTACAGTATGTATTGCAACAACTCTACATAGGGCAAACACTTGACGAAACAAGCATCGTAAATTCTCAAATGTCTTAAATGCAGTCATACTGTACCTGCAATTCTTCGTCAGTTAAGTTTTCCCCAAGTTCTTTCGCTACTCTTTTTAAATTCTTGAACGAGATCTTGCCCTAAATGTGTTTCAAAAACATATATCAATCATCACAAACACATTACACTATGGTAATATCATTTTACACGTCTACCCGTTTCTGGTCGGTTAGAGACATCAGATTTTTGTTAATTTTTTACATGGGAAATTAGAGAAAAAAGCCCATCTGGTACTAATTTTTAATACCACACATTCGCGAAACTTCTTGTTCAACCAAGTAGATCCTAGACGATTAGTGCCTCCACTTAGCATGCAGAGGAACTTTTCCTCGGCTATATTAATTCTGTTATCTGATACGTTAATTAAAAAAGTTTAATAATAATAATAAAAGTAATAATTGATTTACTTTTTCTATATTCCAAATTATGGAAAATTGCGCAAAAGTATACAGGGGACTTCAATACTTTTAAAAGGGATTTTTGACGAGAATACCTACATAGAATCTACTCTAAAACTGACGAATTGTCTGTCGGCTATAATGATCGTTTGAACAAAGGACGGATCAAGTGTCGTGCAAATCAGAGCAAAAATTGAATTTAAAAAAGTAACGTTTTAAATAAAAAAAAAACTATGTCTAAAGTAATTAATTTTTACTCTTAAGAGTTTTGGTTATACGTTTCGCACACAAGGTTAGAGACAGGGTTGTAATTGGGGTAAAGATCAACGTGAAATCACTTCAGTGACTCTAACAATAAATTCATTAATATTTTGACGATATGGTTGTTTTTGTTAAAAGGTGGGGGCACCTCACAGTAATATCTTTCGCGAAATCTATCACCCACCGTTTCATCGTCGTCGAACAATCTAAACGCTTTTAAAATTTCTTCCTTTGAATCCTTTTCACTCTAAAACACCAAAAAACATAACCTCTTTCAAGACAACAATGACTACATTTCATTCACCCCTGTTCATGTATTCATTCATTCATTTCGTCAGGAAGGTCTGAGGACTGTATTATTTAATGTTGAAGCGTTTTTGTTGATGGGAAATTCGGGCGAAAATTATATGCATACATTTTAGGCCTGACTGGGACCGCCTGTGAAAAATGCAACTATGGGCCCCCTGGGAGGAATCAAATCTGTTGTCCTGCCATTCCAATGCAGCGCTCTGTCCACTGAGCTACAGAGTTCAGCTACTTATCATTTATAGACCCGGAGCGAGGGGGATTCGGCGTAATATTTCCCGAAGTGATGATATTTTCCGAGGGGCTTTGCCCCGAGGAAAATATCATCACTGAGGGAAATATTACGCCGAATCCCCCGAGCGGAGGGTCTATAAATGATATATTATGCCGAAAGTTAAAGAACTCACTAAGAGTCTATCAAGTTCAGAATAAACTTTAAAACTTGCTGAATATTAATAACTACGCGAATACAATTTTTAATTCCTTATCTATACCTGATTGACGTTTTCTCCTTAAAATATTTGAGCAAGTATCCTTTGGATCGTTGAAAGTAACGTACGTGTTGAAATATTTGGTTTACTTGATATTAAAATCTTCTGTAGTTCTGTACAAGCTCGCGAACGCCATATTGTTTCAGAATTCAGAGCGTGGTGTCCACGCGTCGCGCGTGAGATACTATAATATCCCACGGTGGATCTGCCGTGGGATATTATAGTATCCCACGCTGGATTGCGAAATCATGAATTTGAGTGAAATACCGTAAAAAATCACACTACCACGTGGTACAAATGATGTTTTTTCATTGGACAATTTGAATTTGAGGTATAATATTGTACATTATGCCACGATGAGGTACTGTATAAGGGTAAATATTTGAGATTTGGCTAAATGCTCCGTATTCTTACCATTTTAGCAGTCATCATTTGAAGAAATTCATTGAAATCAATTGTTCCTGGAAAATAAAATAACATGACCAAATGATTTTGAATGTTCTCCATATTTGAAAACGACGAATTCTTAATATCCTGGACTTTGGCAATAAATTATATTATTATATGGCAAGCTTTTGTTTTGACGAATCGCGCAATTTGATTGGCTGCTGACGAGGCAGGATTTCCCCGTATTGCCTACGTAATTTTTATTACCCTGCGACGAGACCCGAGTTTCAAACAGCAAAAAGTGTCTAAAAGTCTTTCAAAACTATTCAAAACGAAGAAAAATAAACCTAAAATAAAAAGAGGAGCAACTGCTGTGGTTAAAGAACTTTCTCCATACGTTTTTGCTAGCGAAAGTCAAAATTACAAGGTAAATTTTACAATGTTTATAACTATAAAAGCAGCCAGGAATAGTTGTGTTTTGACAATGCGAAGAGCTGCAAATTTTATTTGCAGATAGCCAGGAGGAATTTGACATCATCCTAAATAAAAAATACAACTAAAACAGCCACAGATTTATAATTTTTCCCTGAAAATGTCTGTTTTTGTTAGATAAAAAGAGACATAAATATGAGATGAAGCGAACTAAAAACGTACTTGTTTTTGTAATTTTATTGAATTTTATTGTTTTCATATTTGTTGTCTTTGATTAAATGACGAAATACCTCGTATTTTTCTTGAAATACTATCCAAACTGTGTTAGTATTCTATATAAAAAGTACTGTAGAGCAGTTTTACTAACCAAAGAACATTAATTTTTTTACAATTGTTTTTTTTTGCAAATGTTTCCGGACTTTGTACTTTGCCCGGCCCTTGCGTGACCTTTTCTTCCATTTTTTACAAACGCACAATGCCATATAATAAAAAACTTACTGACCTCAACCGTTCGGGCAGAACGGGAAAATATCCAACCTCGGTCTTGCTGTATTGACCCCGCTCGTATTTTTGGTATATCCTGTTCCTCGGTTGGATATTTTCCCGTACTGCCCTCACTCTCGGTCAGTAAGTTATTAGTAGTAGCTGGTACTTTACTGTATACATGCAATAAAGACTTTACTGTATACATCCAAAAAAATATGCGAGCGACAAATAAAACAGTACAGTTTTAAACATCAATTTAAACATAATGCAGGGTTCGAATTAGCAGGTCGCAATTCGCAATTTGCGAGCCGATTTCTTGCTTTTGCGATTCGAAAATTTTATTTTTGCGAATCGAAATTTTTTACGAAATGACTTAGTTTTCAATTTTTGTTTTTCTAAAAAAACATATGTGAAACGATAAAAAAATACCTGATATATTTTACATATTTACGCAATTTAGGACGAAGTCAGAGGGACGAAGTTTACGAGGAAATTTAATAGCCGCCATCTTGCCGCCCCAAGCCCGGTCAAGGTTGTTTACATCACGGTTTTCGGCTTTTCGCACATGTCGTGAACAGAATGGCGGAGTAATCAATAATCTGCTTCATTAAACACGGTAGTAATCTTAGAAGAACATACATAGCCAAATAAGTGTATTTTCAATGTATAAACTTGAACAATAATGAAAGAACAAGTAAATGGTAAACTAAAAAACTGTATCAATTCTTTCTCAACAAAGATTGAAGTGTAAATTATATTCGTTAACACAATTTGTTCCTCGAGTGCACGCCAAGACTTACGAGTTGCGGTAGCTACAAGAGTGAACAACGGCATTTAGTTATTATTAAAACGGTGTTCTGTTTTAACAGAAACTTTAAACTTAAAAATTTCCTTTATAAGAAGCTTGTGAAGCGAGTTTTCCGGAAGGGCAGGACTTCATTTAAGATGTCTATTCGGTATTTTGCGGGCAAGAATCTCAAAATTTTCTTCCAAAAAAATTGCGAGTCGACTTTTTCTCCCTAATTAGAACCCTGCATAACGATCACTGATCTCCATCATACCACTTAATACTTATACAATCCACCTCAGTCTTGTTTTGACACGAACCATCTCTTTATTAATACGTATCTCATTTCAAAAGCTCAGATTGCTTACCTGAGCCATCTTTGTCAATATCAGAGATCATCTTTTTAATTTCTTCTTTCTTTGGTTCAAAACCTAATGCTCTCATTGCAACCTAAAATTTAAAATTATAAAGTTACAGAACAAGGTTTGCAGAAAAATACCGATAGTGAAACCATCGAGACTCAAGTTCTTGCGCAATCAAAATGTCATAATGTTGAGGTATTATTGATCAAATTAATTGCTATACAGCCTATACTACAGTACTTTGAATTCATATTCAAATTTCGTATATGACGTGAAATAACAATGCAATACTTTTGTTTTCTTCAATTGAATCCTACAAAAAATTAGTGGCCCGATCACGTCCGACCAAAACGTGGGTTTGTCTGACGATGTCTAAAGTATGTCAAAGTCATTGTAAGGTGGGTTAAGTCGGGTAAAGGGAGTTGAAAGCATGCAAAAGCAGTTGTAATCCGGCCTTAAGTCGATCTAAGTAGGGTAAAGCAAGGTTAAAGTATGTCAAAGTCATTGTAAGGTGGGTTAAGTCGGGTAAAGGGAGTTGAAAGCATGCAAAAGCAGTTGTAATCCGGCCTAAGTTGGGTTAAGCATGGATAAAGTATGCCAAAGTCATTGTAAGGTGGGTTAAGTGTCAGACCAATTTTTCAGCATTGTATGTATTGCATCAACTCTGCATAGGGCAAACACTTGACGAAACAAGCATCGTAAATTCTTAAAATTTTCAGTCATACTGTACCTGCAATTCTTCGTCAGTTACAGAGATTTTACTCAAAATTAAAGATGGCGGATTTCAATCAGAAATGTGCCAAAATTATCAAATTCTTCTTGCCACAATGTTCTGATATTCCTACCTTAGTCACAAAAGTGGAATGGCGTAAAGCTCCAATAATTAATGTAATTATTTTATGTGTGCAGTCGTATCGTTAGGGTACTGAATGTATTTTTATAATAACGAACGTGTGCCCCCAAGCCACTTTTACTAAGTTATGATATACTGGTAAAGCTATATTGCAATATTTCAATCAACCGTTGCCACACAATTTGATGCAAAACACTGTCTTTTCTTGGCTTCCTGGGTTGTAAGCCAACTGTCAGGAAAGTTTGATTATGTTAGCCGATGTGCGAATCTGTGTAAACATTTTATCACATACACGTGTGAAAACTGGCAAACGTGCTGCATCACATCAGTCAGTTCCTCCCGATTCATTCAAACCTTTTGGCAGGTCATTTCTGGATGACTAATGCAAAATAAAACCGCATGATATAGATATCATATCATCCAACGATATTCGTACATAAGTACATTTCTGATTGAAATCCGCCATCTTTAATTTTGAGTAAAAATTCTGTAAACGTATCTGTTTTTCTAATCCTTGACTTGAAATCACAAATTTTATTCACACATACACAAAACTAAACAAGTAAGTTCAAAACATAACTTTTGTTAGGACTTTCTTTATTTATGGTGGCAAAGAACAGGATATACCATTTTTTATGGGGGGGGCACTTTTTTTAGCACCCCCTGTATAATACTGGTTTACAGGTAAAAAACTATTATTATCTCGCCGTTGAGAACTTGTCTTTACGACCGTGGAAACCTGGTCTAAATGAACAGCATTTACTTTTGCGTGGAATTGTACATTAAAATTGCATGCATCAAGTTGAATAATTAATTTGACGTTTCAAATAACCTTTAATTCTTTTGCATCAATAGTTCCAGATCCATCAGCATCAAACAAATCAAATGCCTCTCTGATTTCTTGCTTTTGTTCTTCAGTGAGCTCAGGCTTAGGACCTAGAGCATTTATTATAATGAAGATATCAATTCAATAGAAACCTCAGCTGCCCCTTTTTTCAGGCTAAATCAACATAAAACTCCCTTCTATTTAAAAAGGAAAGTGATCTGTCTTTAGTCTATGTAAATGGCAGGCAGGCCTGTCACTGTTTTTCCTGTGGGCAAGAGAAAGGGAAATCCATTATATAATGGCAACTTGCAGCTTGCTTATAATTGAAGTGGATGTGCACAAGTTAGGTAAATCAGTAAATTTACATTTTACCGTACCCGTGTAACCATTGAACACATACTGTACTGTATACCACCCTCTAAGATCAGTGATATACCATCGAAAACATGCTTTAAACAAAAGTCTTGCATAAATTGTTTGGTACTCAAATCTACCTAGTATAGTCTACATGATGGAAGTGAGATCTTATCCAGGACCTGGGCGTTCAAATTTGGGGCTTGGTTTTTTGAGATTTACGAGCTAGTCAATTTCTTAAGGTGGTGTAAGGACATGCACCCTGTCTGGTAATCAACCTCGTATCCAGGCTCTCTCCACTACAAAGAGCCTGGGTACGAGGTTGCCTGGTAATCTTGCATTACAGTTAATCTTACATTATTGTTTAAGTGTCTTTTTTTACTCACAAAGTTGACTGTCGATGATTATAAATACACTTTAGACATAACGAAATTTTGTAGATAACAGCGGAACACAATGACAAGACATTTGATTGTAAAATATAGAATATTATTACTTAGATCCATATTCTGTCAACTGATTAATTTTGAAAGATTTTTAGAACCCAGCCACCCAAACCCCACTCTTGAAATGGATTGGGCCTAACAAAAAATATCCTATAAAAGTAAAACATAAGGAAGGTACAGTAGGTCGGAAAAATTTTTGCTTCACACATTGGTTAGCAATAGCCATGAGTGTGACAGTTGGCATTGCCAAAAAACATAAAATATTTCAAGAAGCAATACCTGTCGGCAATGGACACCATTTTTGGCATACAGTAAAGCAAGAAATGAAAAAAATAGGGATGGTACACAAGCAAACAACTTGGCAGAAAAAGAGGTCTTGTTGGGAGACTGGAACGACAGGATATTTTTGGCTAAGTCTGAACTGTACTGTACTATTAAATACTGTACTGTACGTATGACAAATACAAAATTTTTTTACCAGTTTTCTTCCTTGTTCCTGTTGAAAGAGCTGCCTTTCTATAGGATGTAGCCTTTTAAGAAAAAAATCCATATTTGAAGGAGACATAAAACTAAAATTAACCCACGTTCGGCTAAAAAATGGTCACGGTGTAATGCAAATATATACAAAATTTGCGAACTTCAAACTGGGGCTATATTTTCCTCATTTTACAACAATTCCCAACCAAACTTTGCAATTTTACTCATTATAAATTATTAATATGCTCTTTCCAGCTATGGTAAGGCCAAAAAAAAAATATGTGGGTTTCCGGTTTCCCGACCCTACCTAGCTTTTGGACGTCGAAATCCCGACCCTAAACTTTTTTATTGGATCATGTTGTAAGTGTTTCCACTTAGAGGAAAAGGTTTGTGGAAAATTGAAATTTGAGGCAATATTAGGGAAATTTATCTTTGGATGTGGAAGCACTGACTAAACAAAATGGCGTCCGCTTGTTCGGAAAAATTAAAAAAAAAGTTTATTAAAAAAAAAGTTAAAATCGACCTACCCTGCCTAAATTTTTATAAGAAGAAACCGGAAACACACATATTTTTTTTTTGGCCTAATGGATTTCGTTCTTCTTGTCTAGATCAAAATTTCGTCTGTAGTTGGAATCATCCATCACTATTAGCATAATTCAATACATAGTAGAGCTGTGCGGTTCCAAATATTTTATCTCGGTTCCGGGTTTTTTGGAACAAAAAAACCTTGGTTCGGTTCGGTTTCGGTTATTTTCAAAAAAAGAAGAACAGTGTATTATGAAGAATTATGTATGTTTCGAGCATTTTTACTAAATAGATGAATTTATGCCTTTGTAAGTTTTTATAAAACTCTGAATATTTTAAAAGAACAATTGGAATTTATTTATGAAGATGAAATATTTCTTTGTTTTTAAAAGCAAGTTCACAACAATAAGGCGTAGCAAAAAAAATGTTGTGTTTCCGGTAACCCGACCGACCTGAAATTTTCCGCCGACCTGAAACATTTTTTCTATTTTTTTCATATTTAAAGTCCAGAATAATCTGAACTAAATACAAAGTCTCTCTTATCTTGTTAGCTTATTTCCCAGCATATTCCCATGTAATACTGTAATTTCAATTGTCCGGAAAGTCATTATCCACGCCGTCTAGCAGAGGGCGTCTAGATTATTTCTGACACATTTATTTCCGGTGGTCATTTGAAACATGTTTATTTCCGGTGCATGGTCATTGAAAAATGTGACCACAACAAAAGTGGCACAAAAAAGTTGGTGAATATTGATATTACAAGAACGTTCCTTGAAATTTTCAACGCTCACCACGGACCAATTGATTGCAGGGGAAATGGCCTAGAACCTATTTGTCACCGTCAATATGGATCGACGAAGTAAAATAACATGACAAGATTCTATTTATAGATAATTGTTTTTCATGTTCGTTTTATAAGTAATGTGACTCTACAAAAGTTATTTATATACAGAGCTATTTAATCCAGTAGTTTAGGAATAAAAAGTTTAATCTGTTATTAAACTGATTTCTTTTCGTGTGTCTTGCTACGCGATCTTGATTACAGATATTCCTATTAGTATGAGTCACATAAATGTTGTTTAAATTCATCACAAATTCAATGTAGGGTTGAATTGACATATAGTATTGGCACGTTGATAAGTTGATAATCTTATTTTAAAAATAAAAAAAAATTAATAAAATAAAATTATTTTCCGACCTACTGACCTGATTTTAATAAAAGTTCGTTACCGGAAACACAACATTTTTTTGCTACGCCTAACTATCACAACTAAAATATCAACTATTTGAGCACTTAGTACAGTGCATATTGTGCACAAAGAGCACAATCTTGTTATTTTCCAAACATTTCAACCTGCAATCAGGTGGGCGTTTGGCGGGCGTTAAACGGGAAATTAAAACCGAAACTACAGGTTCTTTTGCGTATAATTTTTCGGTGCTGAAAAAATTACCGGAAGAACCGAATTTTTCGGTTAACCGCACAGCTCTAATACATAGTCCCCTGGAAGCAAACAGCGCCATTTCTGGCTTCAGCTCGGGACAAGGGCACTGATTCCACTCAGCTATTTTACCCGGGGAAAAGTAACATCACCGTTCAGTTCACCAATAATTGTGGGCGTGTGGTTATGTTTCATGGGTGGACCTCACTGATCTCAAAAATATCACTGTTTGCCTGAAGTGGGATAAGCAAGGTTTCAATTTTCGAAAGTTTACATGTATTTGGAAAATCGTTTCATGCAATGAACTTTTAAAAATTAATTGTTTTATAGTTTTATTTAGTTTGTATACATAAAAATGGCCTCATTTCCCGAGAAGATAAGCCTCATTGAAAGTAGCAAATTCCAGTCAAATGTATACAAAAAACTAAATTGCAAGATAACTGAGGCCCATCAAGGGTGTAACCCAGGTCGCTTGTCACTCGTTTTGTAGTTGCTTTGTCGCTTGTTTTATTGTAATAAATGTCGCTGTCACTTTTGACCTATAACACAAATCACGATCTGTTGCTCGTCCCCAGTCAGAAGCCGTTGTTTGTCGCTCTTTTTTAGATAGTCTGTCACCTCTTTTTAAGGAATGTCACCTGTCGGGCATAACCCCTTGGTGGGCCTCATAACTGTCTTAAACAATTTAAAATCATGAACATTTCAATTCTCGGATCCATTTCTGCAAAACTGCTGTGGATAGCAAGATGGAAAATTAGCAAGTCTGAAGACGGTTATTTTAGCTCCGGCAATCAAAACTCCGGCAATGAAATTTTAAGGAAATTTCATATTTAAAAGTAGAAGCAGATTATATTTTTCAACTTTCTCCTTTACTGATCAAATATACGTACTTTGGTTGTAGAAAGTAAAACCACATGGCAGTTCATGGTATTTTCGCCCAAAATACATCAGGGTCAGCGGATTTTTGTATCAAAAACGATAGCAATTCGTTTGCAGAATTTTAGAAGCCACAAATCAGATTGGAGCAAGTAATTAAACTTTATAGTAACCTCAAATCAGTCAACTTAATTTTTTCATTACCAAAAGTTCATTGAAATATGAAATAATTTTTCATAATTTTGTCTGCCGGAGTTTTTGCCCGAGTTTTCTAACTCCGGCTCCGGCAAAATATTCTGGAGCTCCAGCTCCGGTATTCCGGCGCACAGCTCTAAATTGTACAACTTTGTACAGCACTTCTAAGGCATATTTTTAACCTCTGTGTAGTGATAAATACTCAACCTTTACAAGGGGGGAGGAGGAGGAGGGAATTTGGGCCATTCCATTTAATGTACACACCCCCCTATGGACGAGTAGGGTTGGGCGATATTAAAAAAATCATCTCACGATTATTGTCAAGGAAATTATCACGATATTCGATAATATCGCGATAAATGCAATAAAAACAGTGACCACATTTTTCAATTTTAATTAATATCAAAGCATAGCCGATGCTTATATATAATCTCATTAAAAAACAAGTAAAAACAACCAATTAAAGTAATATGAATACTTTTTCTAGTCTAATATTCACTGTTCATAAACCAGAACTGCATATTCATTATCTACTATGTCTCCACTGGCGCAAATGCTGTGTGCACACAGCCCAAGCAATTAAGCCTGCAATTTCATTGTTCAGTGGATTAATTAACAATTATTCGCTGAAGGCGAGGCGATTATCGGTGAATAAAAACCGAGACGAAGTCGAGGTTTTTATTCACGATAATCACCGAGCCTGAGGTGAATAATTGTTTTAGTATAATTTCATAGGTGATTATTTAGAAAAAAATAAAGAATACATGTTTCTTCGTCATTTAATTGACAAAACGGCTTCGGCCGCCATTTTGAAAATCGCTTAGGTGATTATCGCGTAATAATCACCTCAACGGCAACCAATCAGCATGGAGAATTTTCAATAATCACTTATGTAATTATACTAATACATAAATATTAGCTTTTGTGGCGCATTAAATTCGTACTTAATTCAGGAAATAGTTTTAATTCTTTTGAAAACTATATTTTCTAGGAACTGAAAGAATTTTTTAGGACTCTATGTACACATGCGAAGCAATATCACGATAGTCTCCGACCATGACGATAATTTCGATATATCGTCGCTCAAGTTTCTACCTTCGATACGATAATCGCGATTGAAAATATCGCGATAAATCAAAATATCGAAATATCGCCCAACCCTATGGACGAGTTCAATAAAATTTGAACCCCTAAGAAAAAAAAATCAAAGTGCCGACACAAACACCCCCCCAGAAATTAAGAAATTTTTGCCTTACCCCTCAGAAAAAACGCAAAGATTAAAGGATGCCGATGCACACAACCCCTCAGAAATGGCTTTTTCAACCCCCTCAGAAATTCTCATCCATAGGGGGGGGGGGGTGTATATTAAATGGAATGGCCCTTTGCGTATTGCAAATGAGATATCACATATCTATTTTGGAAAAATTCATTTGAAACTTTGCCTACATTCCAGGTTGCCATGCAGTTGATTTATCGTAGCAAATTTGTGAGGACAGATTTGCTTGTAAAACAATACCCTATTTTTACATATAAATAACATAATACATTGAAATAGTTGTCCCAGATAGGAATTCTATAAAGCTATGCAGTCCACTGCAAAACATTGCACAGCCATCTTGGAATCAAAATACTGACACGTAACTTCTCAGCCGAGCAATATTTTTACACAATACAACTTAATTATTATTTTAAAACGTAAACACAACAATATCTTTCCTTGATATCTTCCAAAATGTATAAACGCCAAACGCAAAAGCAGATTGAATATGTCAAACATACCATCGTGTGTCGGTGTGTGGAGACTTTCGGTGCTTCTTTGAAACGCCTATAGATTGTAGCTTCAAAATTTGCAGTTGTTTAAGCAAGAACTTCGTTAAAATGTTGAATGTTTACAATAAAAGATGCCACAGGTTCACAAATGTGTAGATATTTACCGCGCTTCCAGTTACCAAGGAACCCTGGGAAGAAGCCACTGGAAAATTCTAGATCTGTGGGAAAATTAGGAAGCGCAGTGTTTCCACTATAAATGCAGTCATAAAATTATAAGATCGCTGTTATGGAGCGAAAATTGTGGAGCTTTCTCGTTTCTTTTTGTTTTCTTGGTATTTATGATATCGTCCTTTAAGCGATAAAACTGATTTCGCCTTCATGTAAGGTTCATGTAAGCCTATTTCAATCGCCTCTGCGGAGGAGAGAGTCGCCTTACCCCTCATACTGTGATGAGATTGCGCGCAAGGCTGGGACTTTCGGGATGCCCCTGTCCCATCGTGTGAGCAGCTCATGCAACATATAATTAAAATCGACCAAACAGACAACGTTATCCCAGCTCGATCTCAGCGACTTTTATACCGAGTGTGAATTTTATACATTTATTTAGATCTAAACACTCTGGCAGAAATCGAACGTTAGTATGGCCCCTGCGATTCCGGTGCAGAGCTCTAACCAACTGAGCTACAGATAAGGTGATAGCGTGGTAATTAGCATGGTTTTGGAAGACAGCAAGTGGAGTTAAAGCAACACCTAATGGAAAAAGGAGCAAGAGTACTTTCAAGGTGAATGGAAAGTGGCTGGGCTAGAGACTAGAAGTACTAGAGTAATACCACTGTATAAAATCGGCCAACGGAATATTCCAGGAAAATTAAATACAGGCCAATATCAGTTTTGCTGGCCAATGGCCATGTAGAAGCAAGATTACGGAACGAATTCTATGGAGGGTGATTACCGCCAAAATTAATACGTTCTCCCCGTGTTCAAGGAGGGGATTACCGCCAAATTAACACGTTCTACCCGAGTTCAAGCGGGGAGAACGCCTGACATTTCAGGCTATATCGTGACGTAATCAGAGATTGTCAATCTAGTTGCGCCTACGGGTGCGTGACTCTACACGGGTAAAAATTGATCAGGTTGTTCGGCGTTGTTCAAACAGGAGTGAACAATGTTGTGCTGCACCCCGTGAACAATATTGTTAACAAGTTGTTCAACCATCAGTACTGTTGCAAGTTGTTAACATGATTGTCAACAAGTTGCAACAATGTTGATGGTTCAACAACTTGTTAACAATATTGTTCACGGGGTGCAGCACAACATTGTTCGCTCCTGTTTTGAACAACTTGCATCAACATGATGATTTTTACGCGTGTAGTACGATCAATAAAGGTCAATCCTCTAGTACGTTCTGTTGTGTAAGGACAAGGTTTTGTATCTGTGGACGCTATCGTGATAGCTGTTGGTAAATTATTTCTATCCACATCGTATTCTACGTATTCGCAGTGGTTTTAATTCAAGCCAAAGTTAAAGTCATTGGTGCGCGTGTAAACCAACGTACGTGAGTACACATTTGACCTTTCTTTTGTACAGTTGCAATCGTAGGTTCTATATGTTATTAAGTGAACAGTTGCAATCGTAGGTTCTATATGTTGTTAAATGATTTAGTTATTGTAGTATTCAGTTGAAATATTGGCTTATGTTTAGTTAATGCATGTTAGGGTATGATATAGTTCATTTATTGATAGTTATTGCGCATTCGTGCGATCGCGTGATTCATGATATAGTCACGCAAACAGTATTTTCATAGTTTATTAAGTAGATATTTTTTATTGTCATGTTATCTAGTTCGAACCGATTGTATACGACTATATCGATCTTCTATTCTCGTGAACATTTTGGATCCGTATTATAAAGTATAACCTTGTTTACGAAGTGTGTCTGTGTTCATTTGTCTATCATCTATATCGACCGAGTTCGAATAATCTGCGCACCATTCAACCCGAAATCCCGAATGTAACCTTATTGGTTTACAGTCAAATAATTTCAATTGTTAGTCCAGTTCATTGTTGTTTTCTGCCATTGGGATTACATACGCTACGTTTCGATACGATATATACGATTGACGTGCAAAATTAAATTGGCTTTAGTGTCAAGAGAACAACAACATTGACTATTCATTCATTCAGTATATATATATATATATATATATATATATATATATATATATATATATATATATATATATATATATATATATATATATATATATATATTTCCTGAATCAATTTAAAGTATATGCCTGTTTTAAATTTTCTGGAAGCAAGTTCCACTGTTTAGGACCTGGGAAAATAATTGTGTGATGTTTTGTTGTAGCCCTCTACTATTTACACCAGTGAAAAGCGACAGCTAGCAGATTGAAACGTCCATCAATGATTGCGGGTGTGCATGGGATTTTAATGTTTTACAGTATGGGTGCCTATACACTGAGCTACACAACGATATGATACTGTAACGTTTTAAAATCGCTCCCCCAAGTGCTTTCAGTCGGAGGCATAACAAATTTTTTTATCAATCTATGATGCGTGTTTACAAGTTATCGCATCGTCATTGTTGTGAAGTCATGTGACCGGTCTGGGGGAAGCCAAAAACATGGCAGATTTTGACGTTTGCTGATGGTCCTAAATCCCCATGATAGTTACTGCTGATCCACGCGCATTTTGAGCACGCTAAAATTTCATACACAAGCGGGGAGGTCCGCCACTTAAAAATATGGTGAATGTCAGGACACACATTAATAGCAGTATTCTTTTAAGACTTAAGTGTCGATGTTGTTCTGCGTCGTATGTGGACCAAACGGTTTGCCATTTACTCACATGAGTCTCAGAACACCTTGGCATTTCCCCACCTAACCGGTAACACGAGTAGCAGTAAAAGTTAAATGTTAGTTAAATGTCTTGCTTTAATTTTACAGTATTGTTTCAATAGAATTAAATCAAATTTTATCCACAATATATGGTATTAACTCAAAGACCTCCACATGTCCATTATCGTCCACTGCATTAATAATCATAGTCCATCCAATTAATTTTCACATCACGACCATTTGGGGCAGCTTCCCAAAGGGGTGGTAAATCACGTTCATGATTTTGTACAAGCTGAAATAGAACAAAACAACAAAAATTTACAGTTTGCACTGGCAAAAGAAAATCAACTTACTAACGATGAGGTGGCTATAACTAACTGCTTGTGGATGGCCATTTTCTTCCTCCGATGTGGCGATGTATCACCACCATCATCGCATGAGAGGTATTCTTCAGAATCACCACCGTCATAGCATGAGTAGTATTCTTCGCCCAATCACTACCATTGAGGGGATTATTGATTCCATCCAATTCATTTTCCAAATCAAATTTGGGGCAGCTACAAGCTGCAAATAGAAAAAAAATCAACAAATATTTACAGTTTGTACTGGAACTTAGTGAAAACTGCAGATCTGAACTTGCTTCTATTGTTTCACATGGAAATGATAGCACGCTACAATTTCACACAAAAGTGGACCTCCCACTGATCTCAAAAATGTGGTAAATGTCAGAACACACATTAATAGCAGTGTTCTTTTAATAGACGGCCGGCCAAGTCATCAATTTGTACAACTGGATGGCAACTTTATGTTAGAAGCTGGTAACAGGCATTTTCTTATAGTTCAAGCCTTGGTGAACAAGACAATATGTGTTACCACTTCTGATTTTTGCTTTGTAGCCAAAAATTTGAGAATTTTTAAATTTTGCCTATTAAATTACTATGATCGGAAAAAATGTAAAATTTCATGTTCTCTTATACGAAAAATAAACTATACCACTAGAAAGAGCGTAAAAAACTATATATAAGACAATTAAGTGAGTTCTACGTTTTTCCAATCCTATTTCGTGTTTTTAATGTTAAAAAATGCAGAAATGATCAAATTAATGCTAATTAGTACCCTTTTTGCCAACTTTAACCATCTTTAATTCAAAATCGGCTTGGAAATCGCACTAGTCGCCTAATTATCTTATATATAGTTTTTTGCGATATTTCTAGTGGTATAGTTTATTTTTTGTATAAGAGAACATGAAATTATACATTTTTTGCCATCATAGTAATTTAATAGGCAAAATTTTAAAATTCTCAATTTTTTGGCTATAAAGCAAAAATCAGAAGTGGTAACACACACAGTCTTATTCACCAAGGCTTGAACTATAAGAAAATGCCTGTTACCAGCTTCTAACATAAAGTTGCCATCAAACCCTTTTTAGAGGCACTTTTTGCCACCTTGGCCAGCCGACTAATGCTACTTTCAATGAAACTTAGTGGATTTGTTGCACATCAAATAAATGCTAGCCATAAACATATTCAAGTCAATCGAAGAGAATGAAGAATTACACTTTACATAAAATTACCTAGTTGTTGTACATTGATGCAAAAAAAATGCATGACATTGTGTAATGTTTCAAATGGAAATATATTATTTTAATTTTATTTCTATGGTTTGTATTATGATATACATGGGCTATACACTCTTTGGGAACTGTGGACAGAGCATTTCTATGATCTGGAACTTCAGTCCTAAACACGATGTGTGGGTGCGAAGATGGTGTGAAGGAACAGAACTGTACAGATTAGAAATATAATTACTTGTATTTTTCAAGGAAAAACTATGAATGAAAGAGGAATGAAAGAGGGAATAAATATCCCAAAGATATCTGTTGTACATTTAAAATTTAAAAATTGTAGGCCTACTATTAAGGATAAGATTCAGAGAAAAACAGTTATGCAGAACTACATTCTCTTAAATTGTCAAAATTAAAGGCTACCAATCTTGATCTCGTTTCAAATTTGAATAAGGAAAGCTGTCATTTTAGGAAAGTGTTGTTTTGGGCTGTGTAAACTCATGAGGTTACATGTTTCTGGTGAATCTGCGCTTCCTGCAGCAAAAACTTATTAATCGTTTGTGATATAATCCACAAGATGTCTATTTTAACCCAACCCTGTTGATATAAAGATTTCATTCATTCATTCATTCATTCATTCATTCATTCATTCATTCATTCATTCATTCATTCATTCATTCATTCATTCATTCATTCATTCATTCATTCATTCATTCATTCATTCATTCATTCATTGAGTTGCCAAACTTCTTAAATGTG